GCCTGCAGGGTGGCTGTAGGCAAAGGTGGGGGCAGGCCTCCTGGGAAGGGTTTGAAGGGTCAGCCACTCTGGAGCAGACCAGTGTGGTGGGGGGCGGGCTCCTGCGAGGTGAGTGGCTGGGGTCGGGGGGTCAGCACAGGCTTGGGCCAGGCGGGAGCTGGGCTGAGGCTCACCTGTCAGCTTCAGGAAGCCTTGGTCGTCCAGCAGGATGTTCTCGCACTTCAGGTCCCTGCGTGGGGAAGTGCAGGTGGGGCTGGGCCTGGCTCAGGTGGGCCTGCCCCTCCCTGCAGGCAGGGGTGGGCTGGGCGGGCACCCTCACCGGTGCACGACGCCCGAGCTGTGGCAGTGGGCCACGGCGCTGACCAGCTGCCAGAACAGCCTGTGGGCCTCCTTCTCCTCCAGCCCCGGGCAGCGGCGGTGGTCGGACACCGTGTTGATGTGCTCCAGCAGGTCGCCGCGGCCCGCCAGCTCCAGGACCAGGTAGGCGCGCTGGCTGTTGTGGTAGGTCTCGTACAGCTGCACCTGCGGGACCCCACCCGCCTGCTAACACCCCAGGAAGGGACTGTCGGTGCCCTAGATCGGGGTGTCGGGATGGGGAAGGAGGCAGGCGTGGTGAGGGCTGGCGCAGGGGGTGGGCAGGATGGGGTCAGACTTCTGGAGGTCTCTGCCCACCACATTCAGGTGCTTGTACGTGGCATTGAGTGATGATATCTCTCGGGGCAGGAACTTTTGGGCCAACTCCACAGGGGCCTCGGCAGTAGAGACGATCTTGATGGCCACCTGCAGGGGTGGGGGGGAGCGGCTGTGGGCAGACCACAGCCCCAGGGCAGGGAGTGACAGGGCAGGGCCCAGGTCCTTGTGCACGGTGCTGACCTTGGTGGGGGTGAGGGGCGGGGGGTAAGCAGAGCCCTGGGAGACAGCGCGGGCCTTTCCCCCCCCTCCTGTCGGGGCACTTCCTCAGGTCTCCAAGGACTCCAAGCGGTCAGCCTGGGGAGCCTGGGCCTCCAGGGAGCATGTGGGATTGATTGGGAGAAGCCAGAGCGGCTGGGAGGTGCCTGAGAAGGGTGAGGATGGGGCCCACTAGGGCTGGGTCGGAGGGCACCCCGAGCCCCGGGGCGGGGCGGCGGCGGCCTCACCATGCTGTGGCGCTTGCCCCGCAGGTCCGAGGCCAGCCGGGGGTTGTGCTGCACGCGCTCCTGCGTGGCGTAGGCCAGGTAGACTTTGGAGAAGGCCCCGGAGCCGATCTTCTTGGGTGAGAGCAGGTAGCCCTTGTCCCTGCACTCACGCACCTGGGCCATGAAGGTTCCCTGGTCCAGCTTTCGCCTGCTGTTGCCCTTCATGGAGGGCAGGGCACTGTGGACGGAGCTGGGGCTGTCCAGCTCTTGGGAGGGGGAGGGGGAGGGGCGTGGCAGAGGCCTGACTTGTGTCTGAGGGACTGGGGTGACAGGGCCGCAGGAGGCCCGGCAGGACCTGCACCCCCTGGCGGCTTTGGAAAGCTTTGCTGGGACTGGGGCAGAGGCAGGGGAGTGGCCAGGGCCGAGAGCTCAGGGTGGGGACTGAGGCTGTGGGGAGGGACAGCTCTGGGAAAGAAGGGCAGGTTCTAGAATGAAGGGTTCTAGAACTGCAGCTGCACTGTGCCCTCAGAGGGGTGTCCTTCTGTCCCCAGGACCTGCCTGTCCAGAGCGTCTCGCTGAAAGCAGCCCTGTCCTGCATAGGGGCCCCCTCCGTGGTGAGAACCCCTGAGGGCTAGCGTCGGGGGGGAAAGGACAGCACTTGCCAGCAACTATCTTAACTGCACCCCTTGTCCTTTGGGAGGGTCCCGAGCTGGCAGCTGGGGGAGGGGAGCACTGGCTTCCTCTGCCAAGGCCTGGAAGCTTCTCCTGCCTGGGCAACGGCCCACAGAGCTCTCTGCAGACTCAAGGACACAGCCCCAAGGAAGGGGGACCCCCCTGGGCCCACCCCAACCCCTGCAGCTTCCAGAGAGAGCAGCCACCATGACCCGGCCTTCTCCTGCCCTCGAGAGTCTTCTGTGAGCACTGTTACCAAAGGGAGTAGCAGGTGACATTATTAGTGCCTATGCCTGCCAGGTGCCCTGCCAAGCGGCCATAGTTGGCGCACCTCCTGCCTCCCACAGACCCCACCGGACGTGCCTGTCCCAGGAGGCAGCCAGTGCACGTTCGGGATCTAAAATCAGAGCATAACCAGGTGATGCCCCTTTTACAGGTGACAGAACTCAGGCCCAAATACGCAGTCTCTCTGCCGTGAACCGGACGGCGCAGACGGAGGGCGGCTGCTCTGGGAGTGTCCCACGGGGCCTGGGGCCTGCTGGCGGCATGGTGTCTGTGGATCTGACTTGTCCCCCCTGGGACTCCTGGTAGGTGTGGCGGGCCTGCTGCAGGGATGGCCTGGAATGCTCTGCCCGGGGGCCCAGGCTCATTTTTTTCATCCCTGTTGGACTGTGAGCTGTTTGGGAGCAAGGTTTGTGCTTGTATTCCCTTACTCACCCACAGCCTATGTCTGGCAAATTGCCTAGAATATAGCAAATGTGGATAAACTCGCTGGTTTGTTGCTGACCTAGAAGTTAGGAAAAGAGCAGAAGCACCCCCTCCCTGGCCACTTCCACATGTCCCAGGTATTCTAAGCAGAGGGTTAATATGTGGGTTTTCCTGTTTGTTTGTTTTTCAGGGAGGAAGGGAGAGGGAGAGAGAGAAACATCAGTGATGAGAGAATCATTGATTGGTTGCCTCCTACACGCCCCGTACTGGGGATGGAGCCCACAACCCGGCATGTGCCCTGACCACGAATCAAACCCTGACCTCCTGGTTCATGGGTTGATGCTCAGGTGAACCATCCCGGCCGGGCCGGAGGGGATTTAAGGTGGGGTTGCTACTCAGGTGTTGGCGGGTCTGGAGAAGGGCCCTGTCTAGAGCTAGAGCAGCACAAGGGAGAAATGTGGGGCTCCGGCCAAGGGCGGCTGCACTACTGCCCACACCCCTCTCACCTTTGCTCCCACCAGGACCCAGGACACACTGGAGGCCAGCAAGTCTGTCCCCAGCCTCATCCTTCTGCAAAGTCCGCCTTACCCTCCTCTTTCTCTGCACCCTAGGTCACCCCTCCATCCCAGGGACAGTCACTGAGCACCCAGCACAGGCTGGGCGTGGCGCTGAGCTCTGGGAAGCAAAGAGCAGATATGGGCCTGTCCTAGAGCGTACCGGTGTGGAAGGGAGACTGGCATTAGCAATTTAATAGAAGGTAGATGACAGCTGTGATCGTGCTGGGCAGCGTGTGTGCTTGGGGACTGAAGTCTGGCTGAGTTGGGGAGGGGGCGGGGCCAGGTGGGCATGGCAGGCACTGGCCACAGGGAGCAGAGGCAGGGCTTCTGCAGGAGAGCAAGCTGGCCAGCTGTGAGCTGGGAGAAGTCCCCCACCCCCCATCCCCCCACTTCCACATGCCCCATTTGACCTCTCCCCTCCAGCCTGGTGGGGATACAGTTGATGGGTTGGGGTTGGGGTTGGGGCTCTTTCCGAGGTGCCAGCCCCATCTGTCACACCTCACTCAGCCACCTGAGTCCTGTCCCCTAACTTCGGGCTCCATCCCTACAAAAGAAACAGGCTGGCCTGGCCGGCGTGGCTCAGGGGTTGAGCATCGACCTATGAACCAGGAGGTCACGGTTCAATTCCCGGTCAGGGCATGTGCCTGGGTTGCATGCAACCAATCAATGATTTTCTCTCATCATTGATGTCTCTCTCTCCCTCTCCCTCTTTCTCTGAAATCAATAAAAATATATTAAAAAACAAAAGAAACAGGCTGAAGTCCTCTCTGTGGAAGAATGCCCCTCCCCTCACTGTTAAGCTGCCACCTGTCCTCATATTGGAGCCCCACTTTGCCGCCTTGTCCCCTCGCCCACAGCTCTCTGCAGACACTTGTTGCACCCTGGATGTCCTGCCGCTGACCACTTCCTTCTCCAAACGCACTGCTCACTTCCTGAGCTTCTGGAAGGTCACTTCCTCCTTTATTTTGGTCTGTGAACACATCCAAGCGATTTCAGCCTCAGGGTCTTTGCAGGTGCCAGTGTCTCTGCCCAGAACGCGGCCCCTCTCCCAGGCCAGAGCCGCGCCCCTTACAGCACATTGTGCGTCTTATGGATCTTTACTTGTGTATTGTCTGCCTCTCCAGACCCAAGGCCCCGAAGGAAGAGAACTGCTCGTCTTCATTTCCGGGGTCTGCTGGCCTCCTGTGTGCGTGCGTGTGCGTGTGTGTGCGTGCGTGTGCATGCGTGTGTATGTGTGTGTGGTTGGTCGAATTAATATTATGGATTTTTTTCAATAGATGGAGTTACACGTATGTTGATACATATGCGATTTGATATGTATGCTATTTTGTTGTATTGACAACAAGCTTCAAAACTTCATATGCCAAATTTTCTGAAGGTGTTAACATCATAGATATTTTTACGCTTAAAAATGTCGAATTTCGTGCCAAAAAAAGAGCATTTGCAGGAAGTTTTAATTCATTACTTTATTTTGAAGAAAAGTGCTGCTGAAAGTGATCGTATACTTCAGGAAGCTTATGGTGAACCTGCTCCATCTCAAGATACTCGTGAATGCTGGTTTAAATGCTTTAAAAGTGATGATTTCGATGTGAAAGACAAAGAACGTCCAGGTCAACCGAAAAAGTTTGAAGACCAACAATGACAAGCATTATTGGATGAAGATGCGTGTCAAACTCAAAAACAACTTGCAGAAAGATCAAACGTTGCTCAGCAAACAATTTCCGATTGTTTACAAGCAATGGGAATGATTTTAGAGGAAGGAAAATGGGTGCCACATCAACTGAAGGAAAGACAAATGGAAAACTGAAAAGTCATCAGTAAAATGTTGCTTCAACCGCACGAAAGAAAGTCTTTTTTGCATCGATTGTGACTGGTGATGAAAAGTGGATTTATTTTGAGAATCCCAAACGCACAAAATCATGGATTGATCCAGGTCAACCATCAACATCGACTGCAAGGCCAAATCGCTTCTGAAGGAAGACAATGCTCTGCATTTGGTGGGATCGGGAAGGTGTGGTGTATTATGAGCTTCTAAAACCAGGTGAAATCGTTCATACTGATCACTAACGACAACAAATAATCAATTTGAGCCACGCTTTGATCGTAAAACAAAAATGGGCCAGAAGACACGGCAAAGTAATTTTGCTTCATGATGACGCACCATCACACACTTCAAAACCAGTTACAGACACGTTAAAAGATCTTGCCTGGGAAGTATTAATCCACCCGCCGTATTCACCAGACCTTGCTCCTTCAGATGATCACTTGTTCCGATCGATGGCACACGCACTTTCTGAGCAACACTTCAAAACGTACGAAGAAGTGGAAAATTGGGTCTCTGAATGGTCTGCCTCAAAACAAGAAAAGTTCTATTGGGACGGTCTCCACAAATTACCTGAAAGATGGGGGGATGTGTAGCTAGCGATGGACATTACTTTGAACAAAGCGCTTTTGATGTTTCTCTTGAAATTATTGTGTTTTCTTTGTTTACAAAATCTGCATTTTTAACCGGTTGATGATTAAACTGCACTATAAACCGGTTGATGGTTGATCCGCACTGTTAACCGGTTGATGGTCGATCTGCACTGTTAACCAGTTGATGGTCGGTTGATGGTCGATCTGCACTATTAACCGGTTGATGGTTGATCTGCACTGTTAACTGGTTGATGGTTGATCCGCACTGTTAAAGGGTTGATGGTTGATCCGCACTGTTAACCGGTTGATGGTTGATCCGCACTATTAACCGGTTGATGGTCGATCCGCACTGTTAACCGGTTGATGGTTGATGCACACTGTTAACCGGTTGATGGTCGGTTGATGGTTGATCCTCACTGTTAACCGGTTGATGGTCGATCCGCACTGTTAACCGGTTGATGGTTGATGCACACTGTTAACTGGTTGATGGTTGATCCTCACTGTTAAAGGGTTGATGGTTGATCCGCACTGTTAAAGGGTTGATGGTCGATCCGCACTGTTAACCGGTTGATGGTTGATGCACACTGTTAACCGGTTGATGGTTGATCCGCACTGTTAACCGGTTGATGGTCGATCCGCACTGTTAACCGGTGCACCTAGTACCTGCTGGAGGAGAGCTCGGCGGCCTCGGGAGCTCCGGTGCGCGGTGGCTTGCTGGTGCACAGTGTGTGTGCTCATGTGAGCTACAGAGCATGCGCCGTGTGCACCCAGGTCGGGCCACCTGGCATGTGTACCCGGTCAGGTATGTGTGTACGAGTGGACCGGCTTTGGGCGCAATCACACGCCGAGCCCGCGTCTCTGATGGGATCCCTGCTGTGCGGGACGGTGTCTTGTGAGTGGGGGTCGTGGGGGTGTAAGCGTCCGAGGGGTACACGGAGGAGAGTGAGCAAGGAGACGGCGTCCCGCACGGAGGAAACCCGCGCCTGCGCAGTGCCCGCGCGATGGAGCCCAACAGTCAGGAGCCCAGGCCCCCCGGCCCGCCGGGGCCGCGCGCGGGGCGGAGTTTGCGCACTGCTGCTGGTTGGGGCTCGGTGGGCGGGGTGCAGAGAGCGAGAGGGACGCGCCTCCCACCAATGGGCGCAGAGATCGCATGGGGGCGGGCGCGGGCCGCCGCGCGCCGGGCCTCGATTGGCGGAGAGCGGCCGAGAGGCGGGATCAACATGAAGCCCCGCCCACTCGCGCGCGGCAAGGCGGGAGGGCTGCACCCGGG